GAATCCGACGACCACAATGCCAGAGGCAAATAACCAGAGATCAAAGTTCATTCGCCGCCCGGAGACTTGAAAGGAACTCAATCACAACCAGATAAGCCCAGACAACTGTACCCTGCAGAACACCGGAAGCCAGAACCGCGCCACTCCTAATTGGACTGCCCCGGAGAATCCTGGGAGCTCTTGTCTATGGGCGAGTGCGCAGGCGCAAATCGCGGGACCTTGGCTCGGGATGAAGCTGATGTGTCCAGAGGCGCAAGCAAACCGGGAGGGGAATCCATGAGCACAGGTGCAGAAGGGCAGAAGAGGGAGGTGGCACCCACGCGTGGAGGCCAAGGAGGGTACCGAAAGCCCAGCCTGGTCTTGTGATTCTGAGGCAGGAACTCGAGCTGGTTCCGAGGTTTGCAGACACACGGACTTGTACGAGCATGGGCCTCGAGTGTGGTCCATGGGCATGACCCTGAGGGGAACGCGGGTGCGACCTGGAGCAAGCTCTTTGGGGACTGAGGTGGAAGTTGTCTGTTTTGACCCAAGGAAGCCCCATCGCGGGGAACGAAGTCTGGCACACAGCGGGCGTTTCGTGTGTGTGTGTGTGTGTGTGTGTATATATATATATATGCGTGTAAACCGAATGGAGGCAGTCTTGTGTGCCCAACCTGCTGCGTTTTGGATATGTTGCGGCCGATTGTGTATGAAAGTGTACACCGTCTTGTTGCTGTGTGGGGTTTCTTCTACTTGTGTCTGTTTCTAGATTAGATGTGAGTTGTATTTGAGTTAACCTCAAATGAGATGCAGAAAAAACAAGTGAGCTGTGAATGTGGTTTTGTGACTTTATCTCCAGTTGTGTACTGTCTGAGATTGTGAGTGGCCAGTGGGGGCTATGATATTGTGGTTTTGTGCTTAAAGGTAACTGTACATATGTCTGTAACTTACTGTTATTTGTGATGGTTTTGTGACCATAGTCAGTTGAATGACTGAGAACTTCGTATGGACCATGCCTAGTTAGTTGAATGAGAAACTCTTTATGACCATAGGTATATGAAATTTGATTATCTTAGTATTGGCCATTAAGTCTGCCTTCAGAGTTGTGACTCAGTAGCAATTTAGCAGCTAAAATAGAAGGTAAGTACTGGAAAGGAAGAAGTAAGATTTTCATAGTTTCCAGATGATTAGGTTATCTGACAACATCATATGCACTGAAACCAATGTGTTGAAATGAGTAGTGCTTCATGAGTATAGCATGAAGGAAAAACAAAACTGTTTTTACCTGTTTTCAACATTTCTATATGAATGAGCTGTGTTTCTGGCATTGGGGAAGGAGATGGATTTGTCCATTCTCACTAATCTCCCTCCTGGGTTTGTGTGCAATAACACAGGATGTGCAAGTGCTAAACAGTAAGAATTAATGCAGATTTACCTGAGTTTTTCTGGGAGATACTCAAGTCAAGTATGGTCTCACATGGTTCCTTGTATCTTCCCATCTCTACCTTTTCAGGATTCTTCCCAGAGCCCAAAAGAGAATATTTCATCTCTTGCAAATCTCAAAGCCATGTCTCAGGTGAGAAGATGTTTCCTTTCTCCTTTCTGAAACAACTTGTTTTGGTCCCCAGGATATATGAACATTTGCTTCTCTGTCCTTAAACGTTCTGGATATTTGGAATTTGTTTCCATGAAGCTGGTTTCTAGTCAAGGTCAACTAAGGTGAAACAGACAAGTAGCTTTGGGTGCGAAATTAAAGGAAGCACTCTCAGGGATGTCTCCTTAAATTTTGCATCTTTAGCGTCTCTCCTGCCTCATGGTAGTACTTACTGACCTTATTCACAGCTACTCTCACTCCCCCCAGATACATTTTAATCTCCAAGTGCACCTTCCATCTGTAGCCAGTGTTAATATATTATGTCATCCATCATCTACTTTCTCAGTCTTCTCCCAGAAGTGCTACTGCATTAGAAATTTGTTATCTCAATTTAAATGACAGTATATTACTTGAAGAAATCTACCTTGTTGAGACACTAATTTGAGATCTAAGTTCTGCGAAGTCTGGGACAGACAAGGAAAAATGGTCATGTTCGTTGATCTAGGTTTTGCAGTAATGTTGTTGTTATGTGCCATGGAGTCAGACCCGATTCATAGCGACTCTTCCTTGGGTTTCCGAGGCAGTATCACTACAGAAGTAGATTGCCCAACCTTCCTTCTGAGGAGTGGCTGGTGGGTTTGAACTGCCAGCCTTCTGGTTAGCAGTCAAGTGCCTTAGGCACTGTGCTATAGAAAATAGAATTGGCAGATTATTTGTGACAAAATATCCTGTTTTGAGAGATTTTCAGAGTAGAGATTAAAGCATACCCAGAAGACTGGGATTTTGCATTCCTCCTCTCTGATTTCTCTGTCTCTTTCACTCACATCTGCCAGCAATTTCTACAAACTAGTCATCCAGTGAAAACCTTCCCAGGTATTATTCACTTATTTATTTTAATTTCTTGTAATTATTTTATGTAGCTGCCAGAGAAAGAAATGCATATGCTTAGTTCACTCTACTCAACTAACTCCTGAAATATTTAGCCCTTGATTTAATTATTAAGTTATTGACTTAAAGGTGGTACTTTGTCCTGTTTTCATATCTATCTTTCAGAAAATTCCTTTTCATCTACCAACCTTTAAAATATTGGTGTCCTCCAGATGGTATATTGGTTCTGTTCCTTCTTTTTCTCTATGCACAATCAGATTTACTCTGAAGGCTCCACTGATTGTGTGTCTTCTAGTGACTCTCAAATACCTCTCTCCATCTTAGACCTCTGTCCAAAATGTCAGAGCCATATGTCCAACCTCCAACTGATCACACCACCTGTGTATTCCATAGACACTTTAAGTGCATTTCCAAGGTTTACCTCAGTACCTTGGTCAGTCCAGCCTACGCTTTCTTCTGTTTCCATTACTGTTTCTTTAGAAACCCAGGTGGCACAGTGGTCAAAGTACTTGGCTGCTAAACAAAAGGTCGGCAGTTTGAATTTATCATCCGTTCCATGGGAGAAGATGTGGCTCTCTACTTCTGTAAAGATTACAGCCTTGGAAACTCTGGGGGACAGTTCTCCTCTGTCCTGTAGGGTCTCTATGAGTTGGAATTGACTCAACAGTGGTGGGTTTTGTTTTTAGTTTTCTAACACCAGCACCCACAAACTTGCCTATACAGATAACCCAAGAGCCGCACCTCTCTTTCTCTCACTATACAACCAATTTATGACCAATCCTTTTGCTACTCATCAAACAGGAATCAGTTTTCCCCTTCAACCCACTAATAACCATTTTTATATAGACTGCATCTCTTACAGTGGTTATTGTGTCTTACTCATCAACATACCACAAGTCTGCTGCAATCGTCAAGATTGTAGCCTCTGAAGTACAAATTTTCTCACATAACATACATGATGATGAAAAGTGGGATTGAGTACCACAGTAGAATGTATAAGGCAATATATTGGAAGGGAGGAAAATCTTAATAATCTACATTCAGGACTAGTAATCATTAACAGTATTGATTGTCACTAGTACCTAAGGCATTTGACTGCTAACCAGAAGGCTGGCGGTTCAAACCCACCAGCCACTCCTCAGAAGGAAGGTTGGGCAATCTACTTCTGTAGTGATACCTCCTCGGAAACCCAGGGAGGGGTCACCATGCAT